CTGTATACAGACAAGTGGACTGCGTCATACACTGTATACAGACAAGTGGACCGCGTAATATACTGTATACAGACAAGTTGACCGCGGAATACACTGTATACAGACAAGTGGACCGCGTAATCAACTGTATACAGACAAGTGGACCGCGTAATACACAGTATACAGACAAGTGGACCGCGTAATCGCTGTATTCAGACAAGTGGACCGCGTAATATACTGTATACAGACAAGTTGACCGCGGAATACACTGTATACAGACAAGTGGACCGCGTAATATACTGTATACAGACAAGTGGACCGCGGAATACACTGTATACAGACAAGTGGACCGCGTAATATACTGTATACAGACAAGTTGACCGCGGAATACACTGTATACAGACAAGTGGACCGCGTAATCAACTGTATACAGACAAGTGGACCGCGTAATACACAGTATACAGACAAGTGGAACGCGTCATACACAGTATACGGACAAGTGGACCGCGTCATACACTGTATACGGACAAGTGTATACAGACAAGTGGACCGCGTAATACACTGGATACAGACAAGTGGACCGCGTAATACACTGTATATAGACAAGTGGACCGCGTAATACACTGTATACAGACCAGTGGACCGCGTAATACACTGTATACAGACAAGAGGACCGCGTAATACACAGTATACAGACAAGTGGACCGCGTAATACACTGTATATAGACAAGTGGACCGCGTAATACACTGTATACAGACCAGTGGACCGCGTAATACACTGTATACAGACAAGCGGACCGCGTAATACACTGTATACGGACAAGTGGACCGCGGCATACACTGCATACAGACAAGTGGACCGCGTAATACACTGTATATAGACAAGTGGACCGCGTAATACACTGTATACAGACAAGTGAACCGCGTAATACACTGTATACAGACAAGTGGACTGCGTCATACACTGTATACAGACAAGTGGACCGCGTAATCAACTGTATACAGACAAGTGGACCGCGTAATACACAGTATACGGACAAGTGGACCGCGTAATACACTGTATACAGACCAGTGGACCGCGTAATACACTGTATACAGACAAGTAAAACGCGTCATACACTGTATACAGACAAGTGGACCGCGTAATAAACTGTATACAGACAACTGGACCGTGTAATATACTGTATACAGACAAGTGGACCGCTTAATCGCTGTATACAGACAAGTGGACCGCGTAATAAACTGTATACAGACAAGTGGACCGTGTAATACACTGTATAAGGACAAGTGGACCGCGTAATACACTGTATACAGACAAGGGGACTGCGTCATACACTGTATACAGACGAGTGGACCGCGTAATACACTGTATACAGACAAGCGGACCGCGTAATACACTGTATACAGACAAGTGGGCCGCGTAATACACTGTATACAGACAAGTGGACCGTGTAATACACTGTATACGGACAAGTGACCGCGTAATACACTGTATACAGACAAGTGGACTGCGTCATACACTGTATACAGACAAGTGGACCGCGTAATCAACTGTATACAGACAAGTGGACCGCGTAATACACAGTATACGGACAAGTGGACCGCGTAATACACTGTATACGGACAAGTGGACCGCGTCATACACTGTATACAGACAAGTGGACCGCGTAATCAACTGTATACAGACAAGTGGACCGCGTAATACACTATATACAGACAAGTGGACCGCGTAATACACTGTATACCGACAAGTGGACCGCGTAATACACTGTATACAGACTATACAGACAAGTGGACCGCGTAATACACTGTATATAGACAAGTGGACCGCGTAATACACTGTATACAGACGAGTGGACCGCGTAATACACTGTATACAGACAAGCGGACCGCGTAATACACTGTATACAGACAAGTGGACCGCCTAATACACAGTATACAGACAAGTGGAACGCGTCATACACAGTATACGGACAAGTGGACCGCGTCATACACTGTATACGGACAAGTGGACCGCGTCATACACTGTATACGGACAAGTGGACCGCGTAATACACTGTATACAGACAAGTGGACCGCGTAATAAACTGTATACAGACAAGTGGACCGTGTAATATACTGTATACAGACAAGTGGACCGCGTAATCGCTGTATACAGACAAGTGGACCGCGTAATACACTGTATACAGACAAGTGGACCGCGTAATACACTGTATACAGACAAGTGGACCGCGTAAATTATTCAGGTTCTTTGGTTTTGTTAACATAACCCATCTGTCGGTTGGTTGGTTTTACAGGATTTAACGACCTATGAACAGCTAAGGTTATGCAATGACATTACGCCATGCGTGTATGATAGCGCGGATCTGATGCCGACTTTAATTTATAGTGCTACCTCACTGAAACACCATGCCAAAGGCACCAAGATCAGCATTCCGCCCGGTCACTAAATACTGTGAATAATCATGACATATTCCTTGGTGATATTTTAGATAGTTTAATTTCATTCGAGAAAGTTTTATTCGTTAGTTTCTTTTTCATGATAATAATAATAGTAATAATAATATACAACATTTGATATAGCGCCCTATCTAGCTAACATAAGCGCTTTACAGTACATAGATATACAATTAATACAATAAGGATATACATTTTTGAGGAATTCGCAGGAGCTGCCTTATCAGGCGCTAACTACTAGTCCTATGCCACCTGGCTAATATCTTCCTATGTGTGTATGTCTGCGTGTATGCTGGAGATGTATTGTGTTCTAATTATAATTCATGAAGAGCTGCTCTCAAAGTTTGAGTTTTTAAGATTGTTTTTTCTTTTTAAAATTAAGAAATGTTTTTCATTGTGCAATACACAAATAAACCCGAAATAAGAATAATACAGCTGTATTTGAGGGGAGGAGCTTTTTGTATCTTATATTACGCATGTTTGTGTAGCCTGATATGCATTGAAGTAGTTTTACTTATGTCTCGATGCTACCAATATTGGGGATTGTAGCAGTAACCCTCTCTTCGTTATGACATGATAGGGTTATCCTGCAGCTTCCTATGGACTTTGTCCCGAAATCCTCCAAGTGACTTCCTACTTTTTTATGTGTTGATTGACAATCTTTTTATCTGCTTCAGTTTCTCTTGCAGATAGGGCGTAATAATTGTACCTGCTGCCCCCATTGCATGATCGTAAATTCTAAACAACTTTCTTCTTCCTAATGTCTCCCTTGACAATGCCTCACTTTTGGCCTTTAGTTGAGAGTTCGCCCCTGTGAGGAAGACTTTGGGTTCTGTCCCCTGGTCGAGACATACCACAGTCTGTAAAAATGGTAGTTTCTACTCCTGCTTAACGCTCAGCAATTTGGTTTGGAGACGACTGGTTCGCCCGTTAACAGTATAATGTGACCGGTTGGGAGTGTCCTGCTGGGTGTCTTCGGCAGTATGTTTCAGTGAGATAGCACTATAAAGCCAGCATCAGTTCCGCGCTATCACAAGGCGACAAACACGAACATATCGCAGCCTCCCAAAACACACATACACTTCACGCATGCATCTTGCACACAGGGGAGGCCGTCCTTAAATGACCATAGCCGTTGATAGGACGTTAAACAACACTAACCCAAACCAAACCAATCCTTCAGTTTTCTTTTAGTTTAGAGCTACATTTTGAACTATATTTAAACTATATTGATTATAAGCTCAACATCTACATTAATTGCAAACTGTAAACTTGGGAGTTAATTATGTATTTTAGTCTTTGCTTTTGTCGTTTTCATGTAGTTTTTATCATTGTTAATCATATACCATATGATAAACTAGAAATAACATAAGCGAGCAGTTGTAATGTAATCATAGGCACATACAAAATACGTTTTTCTTTACATAGTAGCCGTAAAACGTGATAAAGCTATTTAACAAACAAATAGTGTTGCTTCACACTTAAACGTGTACTGTAAAAACCATTCCGATAGGACAACTTGGCGCGGAACGATTGTGAAAATAACACCCTTTCACATGGGCTTGCTTTGTCAACTGGTTACATTTAACCGACATTTGCTGATCTTATAAATAATATCAAAGACTTCCAGACCCGCACGCTACAAGTTGCGTATACAGGTTTCCGAATTGTTATATATAAAAATAAACATGTTGTAACGGTGATGTCTGGTAGACACCTGTTTCTGGTTCATACGAATAAATATACACATTGTGACCGAGTTGTCTGTCACATAAGTCTTTCAAAATGACATATTCAACCATGCTCGTAAATATGATATTTTAAATTTTCTATCTATCCACATTTTCAAAGTACCTTAGACGAACATTTTACTGCATGAAAAAGGCGTGGGAATTAGTAGCATAATATTACGCGTCATATTTTTATGACGTTAGGCATGACAACAAGACTCAACGCCATTTTATTTATGTTAATATCTGATTAGAATTTTATATAGTTAAAGTAGATATCGTTATGCAGGCCGTAAAGATGTAGTAAAGTAACCACTTATTTTACACGATTCTGAACATCTAAATGCAGTTAATAAAACGTACAGTACTGTTCTGATTTGTCGAAACCAAAAGTGACATCTTCACACTGTAGCATAAATCAATTTTTGATATCTATTTTAGTGTGAAAGATATCAGTGTTATTGAGCTGATATAATACAAAATCTTAAATCAAAACTGTATTTTATCAATCATTTTTATCAATCCTACAGGAGTGGAATGTGGTCCAAGATTTACGGTTGTACAACAACTTCTCAAAACTGTTTTAAAAAACTTTATTTAATTTACAACAATTATAAATCAAGTTATAATAACAACTGTTGTTGGTTCGGATTTTAGCTCGCATGTGGCCTTTATGCCACCTATACCTTTTCACGTCCAATTGGGAAATCGAACCCCGACCGTCTTGGTGAAAGGCGAGTGCGCTATACAATTCACCGTCTAACCCGTAAGACCTGATTTTTGCTTTTACTGCAAAAGTCCATGTGCTGTCTCTTGACCTCCTCCCAATACCTTCTTTATAATTATACATGTATCTGTCAAGTGATTATAACTATCTCCATGCTGTGAAGCTCTGTTTGCTTAATGTCTCATTAATTCTCCAACAAAATAACACCAAAACATTTGTGATTGGCGAAAAATTGGCTCACTTTTTAGGAAGTGGCCGCAATTTTTTATTCAGATTCTGAAACCTTTGGATAAAAACTTCTTTTACTGATTCTTGATCTGAGTAACACATGATTTCGAAAAAATCCAATTATTTCTTCAAACAAATTACCCCATCCGAGTCTTACAGTCGGGTTAAATCTGCCATGCGGTCATGTCGCCAAAATTTACCAAAACACTCCCGTCGAGGGCGGAACAAAGCCTGCTGTTTAACTCTTTTACTCTCTGGTTATACACATGAATGTCTACATCACCTCTATGAGAACGAGTTCTCAGACGCGTGAAAAGTTTAAACACTACCACATATTGCACAAATGGGGCAGCGAACAACTGCTCTATCAAAGAAATAAAGTTTTTAAAAACAACGTCGGGGGTAAGTTCTGGACGGCTAAGGTCATTCCCAGCTATTTGTAGACAGATCACGTCGGGTCGATATAAATGAATGTTGCCCATATATCGTCGTAATGTGTCAATGGTACCGCCTGAGTAGCCATCCATCTGTATACTGTGCGAATCCTGGCGAAAACCAAGATTGGTGGTGGAAGTCTTCGTCACAATATTGTCCCATACGTCGTATGAGGCTATGCCCCCAAACCAACACAGTTTTATTCGCCATCGCCAAATCGAAAAACTACAGATATAACGTTACTTACATACAAGGGACAATTAAAGCAAAAAGTCTACTTTCCGTGTCTGTTTGCTTCTTCCACAGCCGTCATTGGGGGGAACGGTTCCTGTAGAGTGCGTACCGCCGCCATGTTTTTTGTTGATCCTGTTGCTGGCTCACAGTTTTGATGCATGGGAAGCTTCACCGATCGAAATTTCTTCGTGGAGATAACAAAATGTTCGATCAAAATTACCAACCAGTCGTTCGTAAGCCAACTGATGCATAAACGACAAACCAACAAGCACAAGATGTTGAACATTCAAATTAAATTGCTGTGACTGTATAAATAAAGATGGCGATCTTCTGAATTTTTTTTCTTCTAAATGTTTAGCTGCCAAGTTAAACTGACGAATGAGCTTTGACCTCTGATATATGAACCCGGATGTGGCAATCGCCTTTTATGGGTTAGGGGGCGTGGCGATGAGCTAGCCCGTTAATGTAAACAAAAACACTGAATTAAAACAAAATGGGCAGTACATGCAAAAACACGTTTGTTTTTTACAAACTCTCATTTTAATCCAAATTTGTTCGGAATTATAAAGAGATTAAGAAGGAAGGGGTTTTTTGGCGAAATGCAAAATAATAACTGAAATGACCCATAATATTTATGGAAATCAAATATACATTTGAAAAAGGCAATCTGATGGAATAGCTGAGACATTGGAAAATGAACCAGAACGTTGCTATACCTGATTTATCACCGATATCATGATTTATTGATGAGGTTGCTGAAATGGGTCGACACTTAGGCAACATCTTACGCGATTTAAGTCCTTATCGTTAAATTTGCTTGTATGATATGAAGGTCGATGTGTTTTTATCATGCTCATGTATGCCTTGTTGTCACTTCCCAAGTTGTCGATGTGAGGACGTGACACTGCTTGAATTTGACCTAGATTTACATGGCGGATGTCACAGATGAAGCAGAAGACACTTACTGTCCCTATTAACCTGGTCTTATTTTCCTTGTCCTTTTCAAGAATCTCCTTGTAAACCGTATCTGTGTTCACAGTTTGCCCTTATTTTATCTATTATGAGTTTAAATTATGGGTTTGTTAGCACTTCGGTATTCTCTTTATTTGAGCTTGAGTTCAATTGAAGAAGTCTTGTGTTGATAAAGAAAGAAATATCATTCGCTTATGAGATGCGTAATCTTTTCTACTTAAATGCCAAGTTACATTGTAATACATATTTTTCCCCAATGTATTTCCACATGGATAGTTCACAGGTGTCATTTTACATAAGCTTTACATCAAGTATCCGCTGCAGGTACCGACTCCTTGAATTTCCTCTGTTTTGAGTGTCGTTCACTCTCCCACGTCACGATTCTCCGAAGTGGAAAACAAATAATACCAGCCACAGTTATCACACCTCCAGCAAAGTAAAATGCTACATCATAGTTCCCGGTAACATCGGATAGGGATCCTAGAATTAAATCACAATTTTTCACAATTTATGTTACATGGAATCATATCAGCAAAGGTCATGTTTCAATAAAACAATATAACCCAACAGAGTACCTTTATAACTGCTGTTGCACATTAGTTCACCACGGGCTGAATAAAAATAACAATTCGTTATGCATATACTACTACATACCACATATGAGTAGCATGCTTAACCAGTAATCATTTATCCTACTATTTACCACCTTCTAATAGCATAAAGGTGATTTTGTTATTATTGATTTGCGGTATGGGGATTTATGGGAAGTTGAGAATGATTTCAGATTAAAATATATTTCACCTATAATTGAACGGCCAAAACAAAAATAAGTAGAAATTTCCTTCAAAATCAAAGAGTCAAATTTCCTTTCTAAAAAATAAAATTGGTTTCCTTTGATTTCTTGCATAGGCTATCTTTATCAACGAATTCATAGGTTCACGACGTAATTACACTATTGACATAAAGCAATTCTCCGTGTACCCAGGAAATAGAAGTGTTCATGGAAACCACGAAATTTGGGCCCAACGGAAATATCTAATTTCACAGTATTTAGTGTGGCAAAAATATTATACTTTTGAGTAAAACTATTTTTGGACTGAAATTTTATTATTGATATATAAAACTTAGATAAAGAATGGCTTCAAAATATGTTTCTAACGCTATGACCTGGAACAACATATCAAAGAAAAATAAAATGACATCAATGTCATAGGAACAACCAGTCATAGGGAAAACATTAAAGACCACGATTAAAGACGCCTACAGTATCTTTTTCCCCCCAAGAACTATTATCACCTGGAACTCATTACCAACGTCACTGGCTCTTAGTGAGGATTTACCTTCTTTCAAGTCCTCACTTAAAGGTTACCACCAGTCTCTTTACTAATTTTACATCCTCGTTATGTACATAGTTTTAATATAATACCTAAAATTCACAAAAATATATTCTTTGAAATGCCACCTCCTAGGGTCAATTGCACTCCAACCTTGGAGCTCTGATCCTTGTAATGGAAGAAGAAGAAGAAGAAGAAGATGAGTTAACTATTAACGAACAAGCTGTATGTAACATACCTGCTATAGGTGAGCCGACTATACTGGCAAAGCCGATAAACATGTTCAACAGTCCAAACCCATTGGACAGCCTCTCTATACCTTTTAGTTCCACCATGATGATTGAATTTAATACCTCAAAAGCCCCTGTGAAATAAAACATATTGAACAGATTATCAGTTCTACTAGCCACGGTACTAAGTAATACAATACGTAAAACCTAGTTATACTGCCACTCTTCCCCCCCCCCCCCCCCCCCCCCCCCCCCCCCGATAATACTTTGGCGTTATAAAGAACTATCTGAACAAAAAGGATCAAAAGGACTTTGACATATGTTGCCGGTAACCAAGGTCTACCAAGTTATCATTATATATTATGAAATTATATTTATCATAAAATCTTAAATGTTAATAATGTTACCAATGACAATGTCCATCATATTAAATACAAATTGACCATTTCTCTCCTCTCAATTCCCCCTATACATAATCGGTTTTATAAATAAACATCGATCAAGGGATAGAATAATGTAATATGGAAATATACTAATCAGCGATAACCTACCTATCATGACACCAAACACTACCGAATAAACAGCAAGCAATCCAAACGTACGGCAATATGGTACAAAAATGGTGGCAACGCCTCCGGTCACAATAACGATATTGTTAGCGAGGATATTGTCAACACAGGGAAGGTCGATTATGAAACCAGACACAACATTTGACACGGTGTTACAAATTCCTATGATGGATATTAGGAGGGCGCCCTGTACGGCCGATATACCAAGATCACTGGCTAGTGCTGGTAGACAGTTAAACGGAACAAAAAAACCTGCAACAAACAAAATACAAATATTAATCCAAGTGACATCTTCATGGATCAACCTCCTTCGTTTCCAGTAAATCGACTGAAATGTGTAACTGCTAGACCTTTAAATCAATTATGTATAAACAAACAAGTAGGCAGCATAATGGGCTCATTAATCCAGAGAAAACTTAAGCTTGGAACGACGACTACTGGATAAGACAGTTTTCAAACATGCAATGCACAAAAAACACAAGGGCATAGTATTTAATTCGTTTTTTCCTAAAACATCAATGTAGTGCGTTTTGCGTTTAATATAGCTTATAAGTTATCACAAAATATCAGAAAACGAATAATTGTAATAATAACGTTAAAAAAACAAAGTATAGATACTATAATAATGACGTATGCAAAACAACACAGTATAGATACTTGTAATGATGACATAAACAAAACAACACAGTATAGATACTTGTAATGATGACGTAAACAACACAATACAGTATAGATACGTGTAATGATGACGTATGAAAAACAATACAGTATCAATACTTGTAATGATGATGTAAACAAAACAACACAGTATGGATACTTGTAATGATGACGTATGAAAAACAATACAGTATCAATACTTGTAATGATGATGTAATCAAAACAACACAGTATATATACTTGTAATGATGACGCATGAAAACAAACACAGTATCAATACTTCTAATGATGATGTAAACAAAACAACACAGTATGGATACTTGTAATTATGACGTAAACAAGACAACGCAGTATTGCTACTTGTTATTACCTGGGGCAAAGCAATGTTACTAATGGTCTTACCTACTGAGACAAGGAAACATGAGAGGGAATACACTATAAAAGAAGGACTCGTCAATATTGAACAGTCGAATGTCTTCCCTATGGATGAACACATTGTTTTCATAGTCATTTCATCATTAGATTTGGTTTTGTTGTCATCTTTTACTTTCGGCGGATAATCTGATCTGTAGAATGAAGCAAAGACGATTCCATTCAGTACGATGCCTGTGATGATCCATAACGATCCTCGCCAGCCGTACGTCTCGAGAAGCAGTACAGACAGTGGAGCAAATACAAATCCCCCGATACCCGATCCACAAGTGGCGATCCCAGTAGCAAGGGCTCGGCGTTTTTCGAAGTAGTAACTCACTATGATGATGGTGGGTGTGTACACAAGTCCAAACCCGATACCTGTAAAATACAGGTACATATTTATTTCAAATATTTTTGGCTCCTTGAAAAGTTATATTTCTAATAATTCGGATAAACTTGCACTAGATTCATCCGTTAAACGTTTAATTAACGTCCTTTTAATATAAAACTAAAATGTAATTGATGCCGGCGTCTTATGTAAAGCATGTTCTTTTCAACAAGTTTAAGTTGTAAGAGGTCAGAATATATAAAATGGAAACCCAAGGTTAACGGTACTGCATAACATTTTATCAAATAAATGTATTGAGAAAACTCTTCCAAATACTATTTCACTTTTTATAGTCACATACATATCTGGAAATGATAACGATTGATGTGTTGTAGTTATAAAAAAATAAAAAAGAACAAAAAATATCCCGCAGCCAGAAATAAGTATCATCGTGAATAAAAATAAAAAAGACGCCATTGCCTATGAAAAGGTTCCAAAGAAACTCTACCCTTAATGTATATCGTCAAAGCCAGGAATATATACACAATGTTGTTTTAAAAGTTTTCTTTGCTTAAAACAAATTAACACAAAAAGTTCATTTCGAATTCGCAGCAGACACTGCACATACCTGGATTAGAGTAATCGGGTGGGTAGTAACTGTAAGAATAGGAAAGTACCTCCGACGACACTGTACAACAGAATCATGACGTCAAGGTTTGGAGAGAAGGTAGAAAGGAACAAACCGCCGCTTGCTATGATAATCCCTACAATTGTCACTTTCCTGCAATCAAATCGGTTTACGGACGCTCCCGCCACTGGACCTAGGGAGAGAGAACCATAATGTACCTGCTTTTAAAATCATTACGCATATGTATTAGTACTATCACAGTGTACGTCACAATACTGATTGGTAAACCACAAGTGAGAAATCAGTTGAGTGTAGTGTGGTCATTATTTTGTAGAGATCAGAACTTGTAGCTTGAACGACATGTGTTTATCATACACTAAATCAACATGACATATCAGCTTTGTATAATTTGATTTTATAATAGAAAAACACTTGCTCATTTTGTTTACGTATAAGAGTCAATTTAAGTTCAAGACTAAATGCTGTGTGGACTTTAAGCAGTTAATTCTATTCCTAGTAAATTTAGAGATTTTCGAACCAGGACAAAAAAAGTAAAAAATCCATACCAAAAAGGAAAGACAATCCGTTGATGACAGAGCTCAGTAACATAGTCTTTGCCTTACTTCCACCGAAATGTTTCAGAAATACCGGGAAGAAAACACCAACCGTGTAGCAAACACCGTCCACCAAAAAGTTGAGCATAAAGGAGGAGAGTGTTACAACCCATCCCCATCTTCCATCCAACGATTTTGACATCTTAATAGCGTCATCAGAGGGATCTGCCTTTGTTGGATCCGTTTGTACCATTGAATATTCCTAAAAATAGAAAAACAACAAAGATTCAATGTTTATATTGCCGTTCTTATTGTCTGTCCATTGTTTTGACACATCATTAACGTCACCTGAACGCTTTGCATTTCCTACATCTGTAGTCTTTACCATTGTATACGTATTTCTGTATAAATGCAAAACGAAAGCAACTTCACCTCGAGTACTCAGTTTCCTTGTACATTGAGTTCTGCTTTATTTTTTTAATTACATTTGTCATTCAGTTAAGATGATTGTTTTAATTGCGTTATTTTGAATGTATATTTTATCTTGTAAAAGTGTAATTGAAATCAGAACCAACTCTGTATTAGCATGTCGTTGTGCTTCTTTCTTCAGAAGCTTTTCGCTGTTGTTGACGTTTTGGTGCATACTGATTTACAAAGGTTGGTTTTCTTTCATCAAACTTCTAATTAAATAAAACAAGACCAATGATTTTCTTTCTAAAAGCATTTCTTATCTACAATGACCAATATAATTGACTCACTACTAAGCTGTATATAAGATAAGCGAGATGATTAACTTGATTTTGCGGTAGTGAACTTTCTGTTTCATAATAGTAACATCCACTCTTCCCCACTCTACCGTGTTAACATTTCGCAGTTGATTCTGTATTCAGATACTACTAAGCTGTAGATAAAAAGACAATTTACTTGATTTTATTGTCGTGAATTTTCCGTTTCTTAATAGTAACATCCATACTACCCCACCCTACGGTGTTTGCATGTCGTAGGTGAATCTGTGTTCAAGAGCCCTCTCCAAATACTATAACTCCGTGATAGATGTCAATTGCTGGGGGAAAACTAACACATAGTTTAGATAGATGAAGGTTGAAGACTATGGGCAAGTTTTTGGTCGCTAACATGATATCATCTAATGATCATGAGTGTATTTTCTTGCTTTGTTACCACTTCTCCTCTTCTCGCAATGAAGACGTGCTAAAACTTCGACCTGACTGCAGATGTCGTCAATGAAGCAGACTTACCCTTTCAATGTCTTCATGTAAATCATGTTTTTTCTGAAGCAATTACCATCTTTCTTTCTTGCTGTTTCTATGTTATCCATTATACCTTAAATGTCCAAAACATATACCGTCGAACTTGTAAAGATTAGGTCAGAGACATGTGTTTGTGTTATCAACACATAATTTTGTCAATGCCAAAGCCGCGTAGTTCACGAAAGTCTACCCACAGTTTGAATAATTTACAGACTCTTGATAACTATCGCATGGTTCTGCAAATAATCTAAAATAAATTATCATGGAGTAAAATTCATCACCTACCGTGGGCAGCAGTGAGGTCACTGTGTGTAAACTTACACATACATGCATTGTTGTAAAAAGATATTACACAACAGTCAGACAGGACCATAAATGTCGTGAATGGCTTGGCATTTCAGGTGAACATCCATTTATTGTAATGGCAATGATGTTATGAAATAGCAGTGGCAATAAAAAGCAAAGGTGATTTTCTGCAAAAAGAGAAGAAACTACGCCATTATCAACCAATTATATGTCATCCTGATTACAGGCAACATGTTTAGCAGAGGCTGACGGTATTTAATCAATGAATGATAAATGAGATCAGTGGCGCTGACAGTCTGTGTCAACGTCTAAATATAAAACAAGCGTTCAATAATAATGTTTTATAATAAACACGGAAAGCATTCGCTTAAAAATCAAGTTAAGATGACAAGTTAAAATTCAAGTCTGTGTTGACTGTATATAGGTAAAGCAGGTCAACAGTTGATATTGTTTTTACTGTAATGTTTTGCAGCAAATATTCATGTATAATCATATCTACATTTCGGTTGACTGGTTTGGTTATATAATTAAGATAATTTAAAACTTCGGCAGAATTCATGACCTAGAAGTCAACATCACATTACCAGTCAATTCATCAGAAGCTTATATAAGCCATGAAATAATGCAATATTACGTAATAACGAAGAAATATACACAAATATGAAATGTTGTTTTGAGGCAGATAGGAATTAACCAGAGTAGTGACCGAGTCACGTAGAGCATACGAAACCACTATGAAATCTAATAATAGATTCTCATGGTTAAGGCCATATTTGTGAAAGAGTGAGTGGTATAATCATGCTGTTTATAATGCAAAATACGTTAATGTATGGACAATTATGTTTGTTCATGAACATATTTAGACAGACCAGTACTTTTATTCATCCAATATGGAGGCGAAGAAAGCAAAAAAATGACAAGATATGTATATGCATGTAATGACTCTTACCTAGAGCTACCGTGCATATCTGGGCCCTTGATTAAAAGAGCTGGGACGTTAGTTTCGGAAAATTCTAACGCACGATGTAATTTCTCCAAAATGATTATAATCAAAGTTGAACAAACAGAAATGTATGTATCCTTACGTGAAAATAAATAATACAAAAACTGTTCTTAATACAGCATGACCGACAAATATCGCATATATACTTACAAAGATTTAAAACAAAAATGTTCTAAGGCAGCAGAAACATACAACATGCACAACAAACAAGGAATATATGTCAAAACTAAAGAATTATCACTCAGATTATATATTGACGTGCCATGAGTCGTTCATGTTACGTCATTTTCCAATTGGATTCCACATTAATTTTTTTCATCATGTTTTTTGGTGACAATTTAAATAAAACTTGATATCCTGGTAGATAATTGGCCAGTGCTTCTTGTGGCAATATTTATATTATTATAGACTCTGTTGTTGATATATCATGTTTCGTCCCTGCGTAACAGTGATATTTTGACAAAGTTCAATATTACCGTAAAAAGTCTTTTAACGATTTAGGTCGAACAACGTATCATAGTTAGATTTCTATGAAACGGGTACTGATATTAATAATAAAAATAACGGCGCTAAATAATTATCATGCTCTCTAACAAAGTCAGAAAAGTTAATGTTCGAAATGTAAACCAGTTCGACTCTAAAATTACCGCAATGTTATCCCACCAGTACTTTCCTTTTTTGTATTAAATGGCCTAATCGTTCAAACTATGACATAATTTTTATAATGAAATAATATAATAGCTCAGGATCGCTGGTAAAGAGCAACGACTTGTTGCTGAAGGTTTTGTTTGCAACCCTATTATATTTGTAGGAAAATGATGTTTTTACGAACCATGTTTGTTCTAAATATTGCCGATTAGCTACTCCCCATTCCATATCATAAGGCTATATAGTTGCATTCATTCACCTTCTGTTGTATTTTATAACAAAGAAATTGTGTAATGAACTGTGCCGTTGGGACGGGGACCATTCAATAAATTCTGACACCACACAGCTCCCGGAGGAACTGACAATGAAATAGTTAAGCGCCTTGGCAGACTGCAAAAGCATTTAAAGAACAATGCATGTGCAAATCTTTGACATCGTCTGATAAGAATTGAATAAGTTATTAATTGGTGAATGATATGCATTCGTGACTAGCGACTACCTTTCAATGCTTAAATGAAGGTTGAGACTATATATTAAATACGCTCCTATATTACAGCATGGTATGCTTTACATATACCACAAACAAAAGATACATGCAAAGTTGTGTAGTATAAAAGGCACCTCCTCCGTCACATTGAAAACTGTTTTCTAGTGGGTAAACAAATTCAAGATTGGTAAAGTTGATATCAAAGACGACACACGGCCAGACTGGCAATGTGTTGCAGCATCACTGATGATGGTCCTTGTTTGGCATTTCAGAATGCAGTATACATCACATTCTGAACATGTGCTTGAAATTAAGGAAGCCTTGTGCCCAATGGGTCCCCGATTTGCTGTCATCTAAACAAAAGGCCAAACGTTTGAAGTGAGCTAAAGATACAGTGAAAAAGTACGGTTATTGTGACTCAGGAAAGCTATCTGAGTTACTTACAGGGAAGCCGTTTTCTTTCCAGTGAAAATGCACTGGTATAGATTTGAAATTGGAACGGGGATCCTTAAGATTAAATGCTATGTGTAGAAATTATTTTTCATTGTTGTTGCATGCAACAGAGGTTTCTCGTTATCACCATCACAGTAAATTCTGTTAAATGATATACAACTTTTAAAATACTTAGGTTTCAATTATGATATATTGATGCAGCAATGTAAATCGTTTCAATATCACCAGCAAGAAGGTGTACCGGTTTTATTTTTGTCTAAAATGTTTGTGCTGTAGAGCATTAACTGGCTTTATTTGTTGTAACATAACATCATGCTCGAGTTCACACGCCTGCTGGAGTTAAACATGTCAACATTACCACTGTGTATATAAACATGTACATGCACACCAATAACACACAAGTTCACCGCCATAAACATAAAAAGGTACTAGACGGAAAATGATACATATCTATTACCTGATTCGATTCCATCTTTGCGATTTTACGAAAAGACAAGATTTCAAAGAATTCCAGTGTTGTAAACCACCTCGAGGAAGCTAATATCCAAAGGTCCTCGTTCTACGCTATGGAACTCGAGCACGTCGAGTCGTTATAAAAATCACCGGAAGCGATTTTTATTTTGAATCAAAATGTGAAGTCAACCGTAGGCTTGTCATGTTCATACTTATCGTGTTAGATGCGTTCATTGGAACGCTTATATATGTAAGCCAGTGAGGATATTAATACATTACCGTCTACGAACCATTCGGAGGGTGAACACTATACGTGTATAATTATAGCATGTTGATATTCTCTATACGGGTGTATTCTATAGCGATGACTTCATTCAAATACAATGATTCAACAATTAATTATATTGAACAACAATTCCAAAAAAATATGTCTATGAAGTGAAATTTTAACACCAGATAAGTATTATGACTAACCTGTTTTTGTGTAAACTATTTGATGAAATTAATGGTCACATCAGCGATGTTAGTGATCACAGCTGGAAGATCTCTGAGACTCTAGGAAGATCTCTGGGACTCTATGAAGATCTCTGGGGCTCTATGAAGGTCTCTGGGACTCTAGGAAAATCTCTGGGACGCTAGGAAGATCTCTGAGACTCTAGGAAGATCTTTGAGACAATAGGAAGATCTCTGGGACTCTAGGAAGATCTATGGGATTATAGTAGGAAGATCTCTAGGACTCTAGGAAGATCTCTGGGATTATAGTAGGAAGATATCTGGGATTCTAGTAGGAAGATCTCTGGGACTCTAGAAAGATCTCTGGGACTCAAGGAAGATCTTTGAGACTATAGGAAGATCTCTGGGACTCTAGGAAAATCTCTTGGATTATAGCAGGTAGATCTCTGGGATTATAGGAAGATCTTTGGGACTATAGGAAGATCTCTGGGATTAAAGTAGGAAGACATCTGGGACTCTAGGAGATCTCTGGGACTCTAGGAAGATCTTTGGGACTATAGGAAGATCTCTGGGACTCTAGGACGATCTCTTGGATTATAGCAGGTAGATCTCTGGGTTTATAGTAGGAAGATCTCTGGGACTCTAGGAAGATCTTTGGGACTCTAGGAAGATCTCCGGGACTCTAGGAAGATCTTTGGGACTCTAGGAAGATCTCTGGGCCTCTAGGAAGATCTCTTGGATTATAGCAGGTAGTTTTCTGGGATTATAGGAAGATCTTTGGGACTATAGGAAGATCTCTGGGATTAAAGTAGGAAGACATCTGGGACTCTAGGAAGATCTCTGGGACTCTAGGAAGGTCTCTGGGACTCTAGGAAGATCTCTGGGACGCTAGGAAGATCTTTGGGACTCTAGGAAGATCTCTGGGCCTCTAGGAAGATCTCTTGGATTATAGCAGGTAGATCTCTGGGTTTATAGTAGGAAGATCTCTGGGACTCTAGGAAGATCTTTGGGACTATAGGAAGATCTCTGGGACTCTAGGAAGATCTCTGGAACTCTAGGAAGATCTATGTGACTCTAGAAAGATCTCTAGGACTCTAGGAAGATCTCGGGGACGCAAGGAAGATCTTTGGGACTCTAGGAAGATCTCTGGGACTCTAGGAAGATCTCTGGGACTCTAGGAAGGTCTCTGGGACTCTAGGAAGATCTCTGGGACGCTAGGAAGATCTTTGGGACTCTAGGAAGATCTCTGGGACTCTAGGAGGATCTCTGGGACTCTAGGAAGATCTCTGGAACTCTAGGAAGATCTATGGGACTCTAGAAAGATCTCTAGGACTCTAGGAAGATCTCTGGGACGCTAGGAAGATCTTTGGGACTCTAGGAAGATCTCCGGGACTCTAGGAAGATCTCTGGAACTCTAGGAAGATCTCTGGGACTCTAGGAAGATCTTTGGGACTCTAGGAAGATCTCTGGGACTCTAGGAAGATCTCTGAGACTCTAGGAAGATCTCTGGGACTCTAGGAAGATCTCTGAGACTCTAGGAAGATCTCTGGGACTCTAGGAAGATCTCTGAGACTCTATGAAGATCTCTGGGACTCTAGGAAGATCTCTGAGACTCTATGAAGATCTCTGGAACTCTAGGAAGATCTCTGGAACTCTAGGAAGATCTCTAGGACTCTAGGAAGATCTTTGGGACTCTAGGAAGATCTCTGGAACTCTAGGAAGATCTCTGAGACTCTAGGAAGATCTCTGGGACTCTAGGAAGATCTCTGAGACTCTAGGAAGATCTCTGG